GAAAGGGGTAACATTTTCCATAGTTGAAGTGGTTAAAGTAAATTTAAAGGTTTGCTTTTTTTTAAAATAATAAACATGTCATACTTGCCTGCTCAGTACAATGATTTTGCACAGAGCAGCCCCACTCTTCTTCTTCTAAATTCCCCTGCAGGCATAGAAATGTAATGGCAGAAAAAGACAAGAGTGGTCTATCGAGTCTGCCTATTTTTGGGGGGTGTTTTTTCTGTTTGTTCCAAGCTCCTCCTGTTCGGGTGCCCCCATAGGAAGCAGGAAGCACTCCTGCGGGCTTACTCCCGGGCTGCCTTGTCTGTGTTCATTGACACAGATGGGGTGGTTAGGCCCCGCCCCCGATCTCATCACAGAATTTAATTGACCGTAGAAGGAGTCGTCATCAGTCTGTGCAATGAGGCAGGACAGAGCTGGGAGAGCCTCTGCTCTCATGCACATCGCTGGATTTCAATTGAGCTCAAGTAAATATAAGGGGGGTGAGGGGGGAACGCATGCAGCACATTTTTTTTGCCTTAAAGTATAACTAAAGGCTTTATTTTATAGTTTTAGATAGACTGCAGAGGGAAGAGAACACCTGTCAGTTTTTATTGCTGCCTGTGCACCCATTAAAGAGACTCCCCCTTTCATGTTTATTGTTCTCATTGAAAATAAAAGACAATCCCAACTTTGAGTTGTCCACAGAAAAGTGATAGAGTGGAATTAATCCAATGGGGACACTAGCTCTGGTGACCTGGGAGTCCCCAAGGAATTCCCTTAATCTGCAGGGGTTTCCTATCACTTCCTGTTTGGCTATGGGACAGGAAGTGAAGGGAAATCTCCTCAATGGGACAGATGGTGAAAAAAAAAAACCCTTGTGCTACTCAAAATGGGGGGTGAGGAGAGTTTTTTGCCTATAGTTCTACTTTAATGCATAGAGTGTAACCCTAGACTCCAATCTGTCCTTTCAGCCCCAGGTCCAATCGCTGCCAAACTCATGTAGACTTCACCTCGGCAACATCTCCAAGATACGACCGTTCCTAACCACGGAAACCACTAAGCAACTTATCCACTCCCTGGTTATATCACGCCTCGACTACTGTAACTCCCTCCTCACTGGCCTACCTCATCGCAGGCTATCCCTCTTCAGTCTATCATGAATGCTGCTGCCAGACTCATCCACCTTACTAACTGCTCTGTATCTGCCACCCCTCTCTGCCAATCCCTCCACTGGCTTCCAATTGCCCAACTGATAAAATTCAAAATGCTAACACTAACGTATGAAGCCGTTCATAACACTGCCCCTAATTACATCACCAACCTTGTCTCTAAATACCACCCAAACCGTACTCTCAGCTCCTCGCAAGACCTCCTACTCTCTAGCTCCCTTGTCTCCTCCTCCCATGCCCGTCTCCAGGATTTCTCAAAGGCTTCACCCATCCTCTGGAACTCCCTACCCCAATCTATCAGGCTATCGCCTACTCTGCTCACTTTTAGGCACACTCTGAAAACCCATCTCTTCAGGGAAGCCTACCCCGCCCCCAGCTAATACTGGAATCCTATACTCTTCCCACCACTCCATCCCCCACAGCTAATTACCTCTTGTACCACCACTAACCCCTCCCTCCTAGATTGTAAGCTCCAAGGAGCAGGGCCCTCTAATCCCTCTTGTATTGTTACTGTACTGTCTCCCTCCATAATGTAAAGCAATGAGCAAACTGTCGGCGCTATAGAAGTCCTGTATTATAATAATAATAATAATAATAATAAGTGTATTAAGGTAAAAAAAAAAAAAAAAAACTAAGGCTTTGCAACCGCTTCAAGCGTGTGTTTTTTTTTTTTTTTGTTTTTTTTTTTTGTTTTTTTTTTTTTTTTTTTTTTTTTACCGTTTTTGTCCGTTTTTATTCAGTGCATCCAAGAGCACATTGGCTCGGGTAAACAGAAAACCCAACAGAAGCAGCCTGGTCTCCCAATAGATTTGCCTTCCTGAACCCTTAGCAGCAGTTATCCAAATGGATGAGTCGCTGCACTTATTTAGTGTATAGAATTTAGCTTGAGTTTAAAGTGGTTATAAAGATTAAACGTTTTTTTTTCTTCATGCATTAAGGTAAAAAAAAAAAAAAAACGGTTCAGCATCATTATCCATGCTCACCCCCTTTTATTTACCGGAGACCTCGTTTGATCCAGCACTGTTTCCATTTGCATATTTTTTTCACCCTTAACTTCCTGGTCTCTCTGGCTTTGCCAGGGGAACCTACTGCTGCTGTCAATCAAAACCAGTGATGAGGGAGCAGGGTCGAGTTCCACTGTCTATAGATGCAGACAGTGAGGCTCAGAAGGGTGCCCACACGAGTGCACCCATAGAAAATGGCTTTCTTTAGGGTCATTCACTGTAGAGTAGGAGACGGGTGCAAGTGGGAGACCCAAGAATAGGCAGTACGAGGTCACTCTATGCAATTCCATTGTACAGAGCAGGCAAGTATAAGCCAGTTTTGTTTGCTTAACTCCAGTGTGTGTGTGTTTCCACTTTGAAAATATGAGTGAGGATTACCCCAAGTTTTTTTACTACTGTTTTACCCCTGTTGTGGAGATTACCCTCCCTTCCTGTCTATTTGGTTGGTTGCAGGTAGAAGAGGAAGTAAGTGGACATTTTCCCAGGGTGGAAAGAATGCAGTATAACAGAGAAGGTTTAGAATCTTAGGTCAAGATTCTATTGCGGTTTCACTTGCAACTTTACTGCACCAGCACAGGAAGTCACTAGAAATATAATACAAGATCAAAATGAGGTTGTAGCACTTCATTGCATGATCCAAAATAACAAGACCTCTCTGGAATTGGTCAGTATTGGTCCCTTGTTATTGCAGAGGATGAATGCAAATATTGGGTCACCTTTTGAACATGATTTAAAAAAACGAATCCTTGTATAAAGAAAAGTTTTGAACTCATTTTTTTTTTTTTTTTTTTTTTTACGAATCTCCAAGGCCATGAAAAGTGTTGCATATGTTCTCCAGTCACCGAAAATGGAAAAAGAGTATATTGACAAATGGAGGAAGCCAAGAAAAACTTCAACTGCCTCTTCTAGTAGAGCAATTTCTGTCAAGTCTAGCAGACAAAAATCCACCACATCAGAAAATCCTATTTCTCCACCAGAAGACTTCTTAACAAGTATTAATCGACTCTCTGTGGCTGATAAGCAAGGTCACACCAGGTAAGGTAGATAACAAAATATTGTATTTTGGGAATGTTTTGGCAGACTGGGGTAAATGTACTCTTTTGCTGCAGACCTAGGTGGTTTTGATTTTGGAGAGGACTTCCACTAAAATCCACCAAACCATGGCAATTAGGATTTGTTGAGAAATATGTGCAAGAGGGGGGTCATCTATACTTAACAGCTGCCTTGTAATGTGACTAATGATAATGTTCAACCTCAAAATGTGAAATGGCTATGGACTGCAAGGGGTAGGAAGTTGAACTGGGGAGCAATTAGTTCAAGGCCTTCTTTGACAGGAGGTCACTTATTTTGGATTAAAACTACCTTAAGGCCGTGTGTGTGTGTGTTTTCATAATTTATCAGGTATTGTAGCGATGTTTACATGTGTTTTGGTTGTTGTGGGAATCGGAGTGCATGAAACTGCACAGAAAAATGGACATTATGTATAGCACTAGCCTATTAAGGGCTGCTGGATTTGTTTGGGTCCCCTTAAGCTCTGCACAGCCAGGCAATATGCATTTTCCACACTTGCAGAGGGGTCGGGGTCTATGGGATGCTCAAGGAACTGTAAACTTGAGGACAAACATCTTAGCAAAAATACTGTACAAAAAGATGGATCAAAAATAGCGACACTCTGTTGAGGAGCACTGAAGTCCCCATGGTGTACCTCCTCAGACCCCAGATGAATCCTCCTCCTCCTTTTTCACCCAGCTGCACTGAGGGTATCCCTGGGCAAGGGATTTCAAGATCTGACAGTTATGTAGTCCTGGATAAGAACTAGTTGGGTCTTGTATTTGACCGCCCTCTCCCTTTTATCTGGCCCAGTGGGTGTAAGAGTACTCACACTGTCCTGTCAGCTTGGTGGGTTGGTAGCTGCTTTCAGGCCTTTTGCTGGGCTGGTTCCTTCTCTGCTGCTCAGTACATCCTCCCTAGGAGACTTTGGGCAGTGGAGATCCTCCTTTCCAGCAACCAGCCTTTAGGTAGGCTCTCTTCCCTGGGGCCCCCTCCCAGGCTCTGCACTCCAGCCTTCTCTCAATCCATCTTCTACTTGACTCTCCTTGCTGCTCAGGCTCTGCCAAATTTAAGGTTGTCCTCAATCACCATGCCCTGCCTCCTGCCTGGGGATTGGCCAAGGTCCCTCAAACTTGCATTGATGAACTGGGGCTCCTCTTCCTTTGCCATTCTTCCAGAAAGTACTCAATTTCTGGAAGGGTTGGAGAGCTCCACAAGACCTGACCTGTAGAGCCTCCTAGCCGGTCCTGAGGTGAACTCACAATGCACTCCCAGGCTGACTCATACCAGGCTGCCACCCAGCCTCTGTCTAAAGAAAAAACAAAGCCTATATAGCTTACCTAGAGGATGTTGCATAAGTAAAATTAGTCCAACACACCACAGATATGAACAGTCTCATTCGACATTTGTTTTAAAGACTCGTGCATTGTTTTTCTTCACAGCACACACTATAAAACACAAATGTGTTAATGGGGTAAAACTAAAATCTGATAATATCTGAGAGTCTTGGCTTATATTGACCTTTATTGCTTAGTTTGTGCTCATTAACTATGGACTATTGGCTGAAGAAGCCACATCCAATGAGTTTTACACAATGCCACAATCTAAGAACAAGTAGGGTACTTCTCTGCTCTAACAGATTTTATTATTCCCTAGAACACCTCAACAAGGCAAGCCAACACTAGGAAAGAAACATCCTGAAACAAAAAGTGTGCCAACTTCCCTAAAATGCAACACCTTGACAGATGTCGCTGATCTAATTTTGAAGAATGTTTTTAAGAAAATAATTGTTATGGCTGGAGCTGGAATAAGTACGCCAAGTGGTATTCCGGATTTTAGGTGGGTTATGTGGCAGATTTTCTGTACTGCAAGGTAAATGTACTTTCTGAAGTTACTTTACATTGGTATTTGAGGAGATGTAACCTTAGATAATCCAGGAAGCATTATGTTAACTGTGTGGGAATGGAGCCCCTCATTTTCATATTCCTTCTACTTTTAAATGAGCAAGTCCCTGTCTTTAGTGAACTTTAAAGTCAGAACTTTTAAAAGTAATCTGTTTAAAAGTCTAAGTTTTTTAGGTTTTTCTAATTTTTCTTGCATTTGTTTTGCATACTCCATTTTCTGATTTCTTTTGTTTCCCTTCATCATCATGTTTATCACTTTGCTGTGTGCCCTGGGCCCCTTGTCCTTTTTTTAAAGAGGAATTGTACTTTTAAGAAACTCCAGGGCTGCTCTAGATAAAGTGATCTTAAGCACTTTTGGCATCAAATTTATTCACTTATGGAGTACACAGCTTCTTTATCTTTCAAACCTTGCTTATGTTCAAGATTAAGCTGGTGCCAGGACTATTTCCCTATGTTTCCTGTTTAACCAGTTCCTACCCGGCCTATTGTCAAAACCTGATTGGGATATCCTCCCCAGGACATGCCTTGCATGCTCCCCATGTGAAGATCTGGGGCATGATCTGTCACCTGCTATGTCCGGCCGTTGACATACTGTGACAATTGTGAACAATGGATGGCGTTTATTCATCACAGCCCGTCTGCAACATGTGATTAGCTGGGGCCAATCACAGCTCACAACAATTGTAAATACCAGGGCTTTTTTCTGAGAGTAAAGGTGCAGGAACTCGCCCGTGTGGACTTTGTTACCAACTGAATAATATACACTGGTTTAGGTTATTTTCACCAAAGAAATGTAGCAGAATACATTTTAGCCTAAATTTATGAAGGCTTAATTTTGCCAATTTGATAACTGAAACAAAAAAAAAAATTTTCTAAATTTTTGGTCTTTGGCAAAAAAAAAACCTAGTGGTGATTTAAATGTCACCAGAAGAAGTGTGTGTGGTTAAAAAAAAAAAAAAAAAAAAAAAAAAGTACAGTGTTGCATTACTGAGCAGTTGTCATTTAAGGTGCAACAGTGCCAAAAGCTGAAAATGGCCTTTTCAGAAAAGGGGTAAAAAATGGCCGGTATTGAAGAGGTTGAGGTTGTTTGTTTTTTTTTTTTTTTTTTTTTTTTTTTTTTTTTTTTTTTTTGCAACATCCTATGAGGCCACCCTTAAATGAAGTGACTAGAATTGTCTCCCTATGCTGTGTGCATCAATAAACTTGCAGTTACATCTTGCAATCCATGCCAACAGATCATTAATTTACAATATAATATGCCCATCAGATTAGTTGTACATTTAATGGGGATTTTTTTATTATCAGTGTTATTTTACCTATAAATTACTGCCTTGTCTAGATATCCACAAGTCCTGCTGGCCACTGCCATCTTGGATGTGGTGGCAGTAGCTCACTGGAAAACTCAGAGCTGTCACTTAAGTGGCACTCTAATAATGCCCTTTGCTTCTCCACTGGCAGTTAAAAGGGGATGTAGAGATGAGGGTGGGGTGCGCTGGGCACTATCCCCGCAGAAGAGGGTGGCACTCATTTAAGTATTGAAACCAATCTATAATTGATAACCAGGAAACTAGCATTTTCAGAATAAATTTGGAAAAAACAAATGTATTTTCGCTTTAAAACCGGTATTCCTCAGCTACTACAGCCCTGAATTTTAGCTTAAAAAGTGTTTTTTCTATTGTGAAGTCTCTGCCACCAGAGACCACTACTGGAGCTTTAAGAGGGAGGATTGAAAAGTGTCCATTTTAACTTCCTCCTAATTCTGTTTTGCAGGACACCAGGCTCGGGCCTGTATGACAATCTGAAGAAGTACAGGGTGCCGTACCCAGAAGCAATTTTTGACATTGATTATTTCACATACAACCCACAACCTTTCTTCACCCTGGCTAAAGAGCTGTACCCTGGGAAATACAAGCCTAATTCTATCCACTACTTTGTGCGGCTGCTACATGAGAAGGGCTTGCTGCTGAGGTGCTATACACAAAATATTGACGGCCTAGAAAGAAGTAAGCTTCTACTGAGGGGAAAACTACAGCCAGCACAGATCAACTTAAAACCTTGCTTTATTTTTTGCATGGTAACAGGGGTGTCCTTCCTTGCAGCTCCTACTGTCCTTCCTTGCAGCTCCTACTGTCCTTCCTTGCAGCTCCTACTGTCCTTCCTTGCAGCTCCTACTGTCCTTCCTTGCAGCTCCTACTGTCCTTCCTTGCAGCTCCTACTGTCCTTCCTTGCAGCTCCTACTGTCCTTCCTTGCAGCTCCTACTGTCCTTCCTTGCAGCTCCTACTGTCTTTCCTTTCACAGCCTTGTCGCTCTATTCTGGCACCGGAGGCAATGAAAGACATCCCTTTGTAAGCATGGACTCTGAGTGTATGCAGGGCTGAGGGCTCTCTTCCCACCCTCCCTAATCATAGGCACTTTCACATTTGGAGGTAGAGCACTGTGCAAAGTACCAGGTATGTACTGCATGGCTCCCAACTGTCCCTGATTTCGAAGGACTTTCTCTCATTTGGAACACAGTCCCTCTTTCTCATTTGGCCCTCATTTTAGTCTGATCTATAGCTGTATATAAAATGCACTTTGTATCTATCAAAAATAATTTTACAGTGCTTAACATTTCATCCACTTTCTGAATTGCTGCATTTGAATATTTCCAAAGCCAATATAAAGGAATAGTAGCAGTCAAAAAAACGTCTTGTGGATTTAAACAGCAATTTTTTTTTTTTGTGTATGTGTAATTCTCCTTGCAGGGGGGATTATCCTTTTTGGCTACATACTGTTCCTAATAAGTGTCCCTCATTCCCATCTCAGAAAGTTGGGAGGTATGGGACTGTATGTTGCTTGTTTCTGGTACACAATAAAGTGGGAAGGGAGTTGGACAGGAGATTTGGGTTACTGAAACAGCATGAAAAACATGGGCAATTCCCAAGTTAATGTGGACCCCAGGTCTAAAGGTAGACACAGTACCCAAGTTTTGAAGGTACTCTCAGGACAAAACAGACTCCTCATAGTGCCAATCAAACACTCTTTAGTTGGCAAAATAAACATAAATTGGACTTGGTGATAGAGCACATAACCAGGTACCTAAACTCAAGTGGAATTTTATTTTTTTTTTATAAATTTTGAGTGTTTTATCTGCACTATCTGGTTTGCTCTGTTTTTTTGTTCTGCTATTACTTAGTTATATATTCCTTTGGATCTATGTGAACCCCAAAAAGTAAAGTAGTTTGATTTGTAACTAGTGAGGCATGTTGCCTCTGTGATATTGAAAATAGATGCAGTTTCAGGGGTAGCCCCACAACATAGTAAAAATTGCAACTGGTTGTACAGAAAATCTTATATTGTGAACACAAGCGTATATAAAAAGATTAAACATCCTCGGATGATATTGGGCGTAAGCCTGATAGACTGACCGTTGAGGTTGATTTACTAAAGACAGATATACTGTGCACTGCAAATGCAGTTTCTCCAGAGCTTAGTGAATTAGGTAAAGCTTCACTTTACATAGAATACCCAATCACATGCAAGGAAAATAAAAAACTTTTTTTTTTTTTTTTATTGTGCACGACTTGGATGATGGAAATCACCAGAGCTTCTCTTTATTTCAGGGTTCCCCTCCAATCTAGAGCAACTGCGCTTGAAGTGCACAGACTATTTTGCTTTTTTAGTAAATCTGCCCCCCCCCCCCCCCGTCTTCCAGATAAATAGTGGAAGATGTCCTTGGGCTTCCTACTTGGCTTCATTAGGAGCGGTCTTCAAAAAAGATTCTGCATCCTCTGATCTCTTTGGTCTTAGATTTAGCTGGTGGTTGTACTAAGTTCATGCATGGCAAAAGAAACCTATCTTTATAACAATATTATTATAATGCTGCCTTCTCTGCTTCATTGTCATATTGGTGAGAAATGGACCTTTCAGACTGCATTAAATGCATAAACTAAGCTGGAAGACTCCCTTTTTGATACAGCAGTTTGAATATAGAGACCAGAAAAGGCAGCTCAGAGATGCGCCATTATAATAGGCTGAAAAAAGGCACGTCCGTCTAGTTTAAATCAAATTGTTAGAAAAAAAAAAGACATGGAATAAATATCCTACATCTTCCTAAAATATATACCCACAATTTATGCAGAGGGAGGTTAAACCCCCCCCCCCCCCCCCTATTAAGCATGGTCCAATTTGTTCCAGCAGGTGAAAAATTTTCTTCCTGATCCCCCAGAAAGCAATCTGATATTCCCTGGATCGAAAATCTATACATGTTAAATAACTAGTTACATTTTTTTTTAATTTTTAAAAATGCATCCAGTTCTTTTAAAAGATCTACTGAGCTGGCCAGAACTAATTTTTGAGGGAGACTATTCAACCAGTTCATGGCTCTTACTGTGAAGAAGCCTATTTATATCTGGAAAATAATTTTTTTTTATTTTCCCCCAGATGCAGAGTGCCCCATTGTGGTTTCTCAAATGCCTATGTTGCTGATCATGTTGAATTCCTTCCTACTGGATTATGTGTGTTTCTATTTATTTTTTTCCCCTGAGGTTTGAACTCTTGGAATTGAATGAAGGGAGTTGGAGGATGCAGAATGTTATCAAAGACTGTTACCAGGGTCGTATTTACAGGGGTCACAATTGTGACCTGGCCCCATGCTGCAGGAGGACACCTGGATAGGAGGGGCAGCATTTAGAGGAACCAATGCCCTCAATTTTCTTCCTGTAGCCGCAGGAAGCCTGCTTCTCCTCCTTTTTGAAGGACATAGTTTCCTCTAATATGCCACCCCACCTATCCAGCTTCCTCTTCTTCTTTCTGCTGCCCTTCGGCCCCTGTGCTCTCTCATGTACCAGGATGGAGAGCTAGGAAGGAGCTGGTAAAAATGTAATTTACCGACCGCTTCCTTGTCTGAACTGATCCATCTCAATCGTTGACTCTGTCCGTTCATAACTGAAGCATAGCAAACTGTAAAGAGCTATTCCTGTTCATTCTGTGCAGCTGAGGCTACAGAGCAAGAGGGCTCTGTGTTCAATCTCCTTTCTCTGTCTCAAAGGTGAAATATCAGAGGTCTGTTTACATACGTAGTTAGTCTGGCTGAAAAAAGACAAAAGTCGATCCAGTTCAACCATTAAAAAAAAAAAGTTATAATCCTACACCCACCGTTGATCCAGAGGAAGGCAAAAAGCACAATTCAATTTGCTCCTGCAGGGAAAAAACTCCTTCCTGATTCCCCCCAAGAGACAATCTTATATTCCCTGGATCAACTTCACCTATAAATGTTAGTATCGAGCAGTTATATTCTGTGTATCTAGGAAAGAATCCAGGCTTTTTTTTTTTTTTTTTTTTTTTTTTTTTTTTTTTTTTTTTTTTTTTTTGAAGCAATGCACTGAACTGGCCAGAACCAACTCTTGAGGGAATCTATTCCACATTTTCACAGCTCTCACTGTAAAGAAACTTTTCTGTATTTTGGAGATTAAATTTCTTTTCCTCCAGATGAAGAGAGTGCCCCTTGTCCTCTGTGATGACCTCAGGGTGAATAGCTCTACACCGAGTTCACTATATGAACCACTGATGTATTTATACATGGTGATCATATCCCCCCTTAATCTCCTCTTCTCAAGAGAGAATAAATTCAGTTCCTCTAATCTTTCCTCATAGCTGAGCTCCTCCATACCTCTTATCAGTTTGGTTGCCCTTCTCTGTACTTTCTCCAGTTCCCCAATGTTCTTTTTGTGAATTGGTGCCCAAAATTGATCTGCATATTCCAGATGAGGTGTCACTACTGATTTGTACCGGGGTAATATGATATCTCTCTCTCTGGAGTCTATACCTCTTTTAATACAAGAGAGGATTTTGTTTGCTTTAGAAACCGCAGCTTGGCATTGCATGCCATTATTAAGCTTGTGATCTACCAGAACTCACAGATCCTTCTCCACCATTGATTCCCCCAGTTGTACCCCCCCTAGTATGTATGATGCATGCATATTCTTAGCCCCCAAGTGCAGAACCTTACATTTATCAACATTAAACCTAATTTGCAACATATTTGCCCAATTAAACAGTGCATTGAGGTCGGCTTGTAAGACCCAGTGGTGTATCATCGATGTGTGCAGGGTGTGCGTTGCACACTGGCCCCCTGAGGGTGGGGGGGCCCACAGTGTCCTGACCCAAACTTCATACATTGATGAGACCCTGAGGTGCCACAGCTGCGCCTGTGACTGCAGGTGCATGCTCAGCATCATTACAAATCGGAGACACTCACCTGGATCCTGCTGGAACACTGTATACACACACACGCCAGGCCAGAGTGACCCGCAGGGCTGTGCTGCAGAGACCGTGCCACCTCCTCTCTCCTGGCCAGTTAAATTGGTCACAGGACTGAGCAACGGCAGCCAATAAGGGTAAGAGATCTGGAAACTAATAAGAGGGGGCAGTGATGGGGTGGAGCCTGGCTTCCCCATGGTCAGTGCAGTTATTGATACCAAGAGAGGAGCGGAACGTTGGACAGTAGTGAGTTTACAGTGGATATGTATTTGTTTTTAGTACAGGTACTCAGATAGCAGAAGAACAGTGTACACATACAGTACGGGGGGAAGATGTACAAAGAGAGCACAAGAGCAGCATAGAGTATACAGAATATACTCGGTGTCTCCCCCCCCCCCCCCCCCCCCCCTCCCCGATCCCATGTAAAGCACCATGCTGAACCCCCTGTGTAATGTATCCTGCTGCCTCCTATAATGTAATCTGCCCCCCACTACTGCTATACACTCCACACCAGGGGCGGACTGACCATTTGGAAACTCGGGCACTGCCCAGGGTCAGTAGGGGGGCCCCATGAGACGCCCCTGGTACCTTTTTTCATAGGCTTTTTTGAGTTTTGGCAAGGACACGGGCCCCATGATCCCCTATTGCCTGGGGGCCCCATGAGTTGTCAGTCCGCCCCTGCTCCACACCATGCGCAGTTTAAACCCCACACACTTTTTCAATTTTATTTTTCTCCTAGGGCCCATTTCTGATCCTGCACACGGGCCCACTGATTTCATGATACACTCCTGCTTAGACCCCTGATATCTCACCTGCTAAAAAACAAAAGCAAAGGTTGTGCTTGCAACCCTGCCCTAGCATTTTGCCACTGGGCTCATAGAGAAGGGCCATGGCGGGGGTTCAGGGGGCCCTTCATGCTGTCTTGCACTGAAGGTTCTAGTTACTTCCGTTACCTGTGATGTCGAGGAGGAAGACCAAATAAATTGGGCAGGAGAAGCCTGATGACATCTGTCTTCAGCATGCATTTGGAAGGGAGGGCGCTGCCTAGACTGCTGGTGTTCAGATAGTGTTGTGGATCCAAATTTGTGGGGGTTTTTTTTTTCTGCGCAGTTTAAATGTTCACTTTTGGATTTGAGCCTATCTCCCTTTTTTTTATTTTTTTATTTTTTTCCTGTGTGCATTCAAAACACTTTTAAAGCTCAACTCCAGGATAAGCAAATATTGTCTAAGTACACGAGTCGTGTATTCTTGACTATTAGTGTGTTTTTTCAGATCTGTGCAGTAGCCAGTGTGAAACTTTGCCTCTGTACAGGAACTTCCTGTAATAAAGACCAGCTACTGCTGCTCTTTCTCCTGGTGCAGGGTGACTGGTCTTGTATCCACCCCCTCCTGTAGTTTTCTGTAAGCAGACTGTAGTGAGTGGTTCTGCTGGGTCCCTTCCATAGCTCTGCATCAAATGCCTTTACAGACCTAGATATTGTCTTGTAGTGGATTCATATCCTTTGTGGCTATTAAGGCATATATATTTTAAAGATTTTGTGCTCCGCTTTAATTTTGAAATGAAATTTAATAAGCTGAAGTCTGTATTTTATAAAAGCTCAATTCAGGCTTATGTTGAGAGCTCTTGCTCTGTAAATTCAGGAGAAAATTACCTGGATGGACCTATATGAAGGAAATGGACCAAAGTCGGTGTCACCACAGTTCTCAGTTTAAACAGACAGAAGGCATGGCTGTAGCTCAAATGCTAGAGATTTGCAGTATATCTCACAGCCATAAAGCATGCTTCTTTGGATAGACCTGGTATATTGCCCCATATTGGGCTGTCTTTCACATCTCAATCCTGATTTTTATCAGGTCATCAACACTTTCTCATGCAAATTCCTTGTGGTCATCGCTTTGCACTCATAGTAGCACTGCCCTATCAGTACCAAGCAGCAGGTAATCTTGTTGATGGTGCATTTGGGAGGGCCCCTTCAGGAGGTGTTTGGGCGGCATCTTTCATCCACTGGTCTGTTTTTTCTTTGATTTTTCTTTCATCATTTTTGCTTGAGATATATATGAGAAATCCATGGCTGTGTTCACATAACAATCTGTTTTTAATATTTCCTGGTGGTTTTTACCTCACATGGAATCATATGTCATGCCTTTCTTGAGCACTTCTGAAGAGATTTTTGCTGATCTCGAAACGCGTCAAGTGCGATCCATGCATGATCCATGATTAGATTTGCAATACCATCTCTGATGACACCGCCGCAATATGTATTGTAGTTTTGTTTATTTTTGAAGATTGTAAATATTTCATACTAATTTTTATAAAAAATCTATTTTGAATTGTTGAAATTCATCATACAAGTAAATTGCGTCGTTAAAGACCCACCATAAAAGAGGACTTTTTTTTTTTTCCCCTTGTAGAGGTGTAGTCATTTTATCATATCACATGCTGGTTGACTGAGAGAACCCATTACAGTATAAACCCCCCCATAAAATGTATTCCAGGCTGTGTAAGTCACCACACTGGGAAGGCTTTTCTTGGTGTTCCTTCTACAGCTTTTCTTTCGAGCCATCTGTAGGCTTCCATAAGGATACACAGTTGAGTACATGCATGGTACTGCATCATATAGATTCATACATACATACATTGTTGCATTTTTGTCTGTTCTTTTCTAGTGGCTGGCATTCCTCAAAAAAAGCTAGTTGAAGCTCATGGAACATTCTCGTCTGCATCATGTCACTTGTGTTACACCCCATTCCCAGCAAAAGAGGCTCAGGTAGGGTTAACATATCTGCTTTGCAATATTACATGAAAAATAATCCTGTAGTAGATTTGTATTATTTATAGCAAATCTGGGGAAACCCTGATACTGTTGTTGCCATGCTTGTATATACACGACTGTTTTTTGTTTAGCCTTAATCTATATCGATTTCAAAAGATATGGCCTCATTCATGATTTTCTCTCGAATTCAGTACCTGGTTTTTGCCTACAGGTCTCCCTGTTGTGAGTAGCAGTACTGCCTCCGAACATGACTGTTTCAGAGTGGAATTGGGCTACTTTGCAATGCACATGGTTGCAGCACAGTGGTGCCGCCATTTAAGGGGTGAAACAGATGCAGCGGTGACTAATTGCCTCAAAAAGGTGTCTCAAATCTAAATTTGCCCTTACAGTGGAACCAGAGGGTTCCAGAAGTCCTTACCCTGTTCCCCAAGAATGGATTCTAACTTCAGCTGGCCCCATATCTGAATTCACTGACCATTTTGGCATGCATTTTTATGACCGGTTCTAAAGGTCTGATTTTTGTTAACCTGCCGCCAACCCCCCCCATATTTTAATTAATTTTATTTATAGCAGGTACTCACTTCCACTCTGAATGCCTAGATTCTCGCCCACAACCTCCTGGGCCACATCACTGGTCCCAGGAAGCTGCAGGTCCATTTACCCATTTACAAAGCAAAAGACAACTTGTGCATGTGCAGTGGGGAGCCAGCTGTGAAGCCACAGGAAGTTACAGCCAGCTTCCCACATCCAAGATGGTGGCACCAGGAACCTGAAGATCAGTGAAGAACCGGTCTTGGGTGAGGATAGGGCTGGATCCCTGGACTAGAAGGTGTGTGTTTATTAAGTCAGCAGCTAGTGCGTGTGTGTTGTTTTTGTGTTTATTTTATTTTTTTTATACTACCTGTTTAATAAGCTGCATTCTTGTTTTTTGTTCTTTCTAAAGGTTTGCATAATGAATGACAAGTCTCCTCGTTGTAATGTGTGTTATGGTGTTGTTAAACCTGATGTCGTATTCTTTGGTGAAGACCTTCCAAAAGCATTTGGCAAATATTCAAAGGACTTTCCAAGGGCAGATCTGCTGATTGTAATGGGAACTTCTTTAAAGGTATCTTCTTTTACTTTTTGATCTGGTTTTCTGTTATCCAGAATATGTTTTAGGGATGCAATCATACCTGTGAGATTAAATACCATAGTTAAGGTGGTGGAGTGCTGGACTTGGTAAAGGTTCTGAATGAATTATGTTATTACTAATGTGTGGCAGCTTTCAAAAGCCTTGTGGATACCCAACATACTGGGGAAAGCCATCTTTTAACCCCTGAAACATGGTAACTGCCGGTTCCTAATAAACTCTCATTGTGACAAACAAAAAAGATTAGGACCTTGATTTATGTGGCATGATTTTTCAAGCCACATAATTTGTTCAGTTTCTGGCAATCTATCCATCAGCCTTTAAGTGCAAAGGAAGAATGCAGAACTGTTTGCAACATTCAGATCTTCAGCCTTGCACTATAGATAGAAAAAAAAATATATATATACACCCACACTGTATTGCCAAATGTATTGGGGAAACCCCCCCAAATCATTGGATTCAGGTGTTCCAATCACCTCCATGGCCACAGGTGTATAAAATCAAGCACCTAGGCATGCAGACTGCTTCTACAAACATTTGTGTGAGAATGGGTTGCTCTCAGGAGCTCAGTGAATTCAAGCGTGGTACTGTGATAGGTTGCGACCCGTGCAATAAGTCCATCCATGAAATTTCCTTGCTACTAAATATTCCACTGTCAACTGTTGGTATTAGAACAAAGTGGAAGCAACTGGGAACAGCAACTCAGCCACTAAGTGGTAGGCAACATAAAATGAAAGGGGGGTTAGCGCATGCTGAAGCGCACAGTGAGCAGAAGTCGCCAACTGTCTGCAGAGTCAGTAGCTAAAGATCTCCTAAATGGCATGTGGCATTCAGATTAACACTACAACAGTGCGTAGAGAGCTTCATGGAATAGGTTCCATGGCCGAGTAGCTGCATCCAAGCCTTACATCATCAAGTGCAATGCAAAGTGTCAGATGCAGTGGTGTAAAGCATGCTGCCACTAAGATGCAGTGGTGTAAAGCATGCTGCCACTAAGATGCAGTGGTGTAAAGCATGCTGCCACTAAGATGCAGTGGTGTAAAGCATGCTGCCACTAGACTCTAGAGCAGTGGAGATGTGTTCTCTGGAGTGAATAATCATGCATTGTTGTCTGGCAAGCCAATAGACGTGTGTGGGTTTGACGGTTGCCAGGAGAGCGGTTTTGGGCTTGGCCCCTTAGTTCCAGTGAAGAGAACTCTTAAGGCGTCAGCACAGCAAGACATTTTGGACCATTTTTCATGCTCACAGCTTTGTGGGAACAGTTTTGGGGATAGCCCCTTCCTGTTGTAACATGACTGCACACCAGTGTACAAAGCAAGGTCCATAAAGACATGGATGAGCGAGTGTGGGGTGGAGGCACTTGAATGGCCTGAACAGTCCTGACCTCAACCCAACAGAAGTTTCAGATGAATTAGAGTGGTGGTGTGTGTGTGTGTGTGTGTGTGTGTGTGTGTGTGTGTGTGTGTGTGTGTGTGTGTGTGTGTGTGTGTGACACACTGCTCAAAAAAAATGTAAGTACCACTTTGAAAACACATCAGATCTCAATGGGGAAAAAATATCCTGCTGGATATCTATGCCAATATGGACTGTGTAATGTGTTAGGAACATACTGTAAGGATGCCCCTTTATTTGATGGAAATGAAAATTATCCACCTACAGAGGACTGAATTCAAAGACACCCCGAAAAGCAAAGTGAAAAAATTATGCAGCAGGCTAGTCCATTTTGATGAAATTTCATTGCAGCAACTCAAAATGGTACTCTTCGTTTGGTCCCCACGTGCTTGTATGCATTCCCAATAATGTCGGAGCATGCTTCTAATGAGACGACGGATGGTGTCCTGGGGTATTTCCTCCCAGATCTTGATCGGGGCATTACGGAGCTCCTGGACAGTCTGGGGTGCAATCTGCAGGCTTCCGATGGACCAAAATATGATATCCCAGAGGTGTTCTATTGAATTTAGGTCAGGCAAGCATGGGGGCCATTCAATGGTATCAATTCCTTCATCCTCCAGGAACTGCCTGCATACTTTCGCCACATGAGGCTGGGCAATGTCGTGCACCAGGAGGAACCCAGGACCCACTGCATCAGCGTAGGCTCGGACGATGGGTCCAAGGATTTCATCCTGATACCTAATTTCAGTCAAAGTGCCATTGTCTAGCCTGTAGAGGTTTGCCTGTCTCTCTATGCTTCTGTCAGACGTGCTCAGGGTAAACCTGCTCTTATTTTTGAAAAGTACAGGGTGCCAGTGGTGGACCTGCCAGTTCTGGTTTTTTCAGTGGCAAATGCCAATCTAGCTCTATGGTGCTGGGCAGTGAACACAGGGCCCACTAGAGGACGTTGGGCCCTCAGGCCACCCTCATGAAGTCTTTCTGATTGGTCAGAGACATTCACACCAGTGGCCTACTGGAGGTCATTTTTAGGGCTCTGGCAGTGCTCATCTTGTTCCTCCCTTACACAAAGGAGCTGATACCGGTCCTGCTGATGAGTTAAGGACCATCTATGGCCTTGTCCAGCTCTCCTAGAGTAACTGCCTCTCCCCTGGTATCTCCTCCATGCTCTTGAGACTGGGCTGGTAGACACAGAAAACCTTCTGGCAATGTGCCATCCTGGAGTTGGACTGCCTGTGCAACCTCTGTCGGGTCCAGGTATGGCCTCATGCTACTAGTAGTGACACTGGCTCTAGCAAAATGCAAAAACTAGTGAAAAACAGTCAGGATGAGTAGAGAAAAAAAATGTCAATGGCCTCCACCTGTAAAACCATTCCTGTTTTGGGGGTCATCTCATTGTTGCCCATCTAGTGCGCCTGTTAATTTAACACCGAAGCAGCTGAAACTGATTAACAACCCCCTCTGCTACTTAACTGACCAGATTCAATATCCCAGGAGTTTAATTGGCTTGATGTTATACTCAGTTTAAAAAGTGTCCCTTAATTTTTTTTGAGGGGTGTGTCGCCCTCCTAGTTAGGTGCTAGGATGTGTATAGTTGGGTTAAGCAAAGCTGTGTTTCTCTGCTTACCAGAGAGGCTGTTGGGTAAATTCAGTGTGGTATACTGCGTAACAGAGTGCTGTGATTTATTAGGGCTGCTCTGGTGCTTTTGAGTTTGAGTTCTGCCCACCTTCTGGAAGCTATGAGAGCCTTCCAGAACATGAATAGGGGCTAGGCAAAGGAACAGTATGACTTTGGATGCAGCCCTGGCCAATTGCAGGGGAAGGCAGTCCCATTGCATGCTGGGAGTGGTATTTATAGTCAGAGAGCACATGGGGTTAAGTGTCTTTCCCTGGAGTAGATTTCACCAGCCAGGCTGGAGGCAGGCTTCCTCGCCTTGCACATACTGCCATGTGCTCTCAGGTGGGTCGCACTGAGGGCCTGAAACTAGAGAGGGAGACCCTGGTTTTGCAGGAAGCTGACTAAGGGGAGTTGTCTGCCAAGGTTCTGTCTAGTATCACTGGAGGGTTTCAATTTGGAAGGAGGCATCCACTCTATCCTTGGAGTTGTGAGTACTGACATTGAGGAACTTGGGGACACGGTGTGCTTGCTACCACCCCTGGGGTTTGATAGTCAGCGTTGGTCTGGAAAAAGGAACGCTGGCTAGTGTTGCATAGATTGTCCTAGTGCTACTACTGCAAAGGACTTTGCTTAGCTACGTTACCAGTCTGTCGTAACTGGCTTATACTTGAGGAGCTTAGCCCTGTAACAACTACTACTGCTAAAGGGACTTTGTCACATATAGCAGCAAGTAGTTTAGGAGTGAGCAAAGGGAAGTCGATCTACTGACAGGCAAGTCTTCATAAGTGTTCAACTAAGAGATCAGCTAATGTCCTCAATGTGAATAGTTCTGATATGGAGTATCCTACTACAGTTGCCCATCCCTATCTCCATTACTACAATAAACTCCAAAAACAAAACATCTTAGATTGGTCATTGAAGACAATGAGCTGAAGTAAGTGTGTGTGTGTGTGTGTGTGTGTCTCTTCAGTTTTACTCAAATTAGTTGATGCAAAAATGAATACACCCCACAACAATATTAATGCGATCTAGTATTTTCTTTGATCTCCAATGATTTGTAAGAACAGCACCAAGCCTTCTAGGCATGGAATTAAAAAGTTGACGACATATTGCAATGACCTTTTTTTTTTTTTTTTTTTTTTTTTTTTAGAGCCTGGCTATATGGAGAGTGAAGCTTAACTTGTCTCTTCAGAATTCTCCATAGGTGTTCAATTGGGTTCAGATCAGGAGACATACTTGGCCACTGAATCACTGATTTTCTTCAGCAATGCAATAGTGGCCTTAGATGTGTGCTTTAGATAATTGTCGTGTTGGAAAGGTGCAACATGATGGATGCATCTTCTCTTTCAATATAGAGCAGTACATCTGTGAATTCATGATGCCATCAATGAAATGCAGCTCTCTGACACCAGCAGCACTCATGCAGCCCCACAGAAGGACACCGCCACCGCCATGTTTCACTGTAGGCACCATGAATTTTTCCTTGTACTCCTCACCTTTGCGATGCCATACACTTTTGAAGCCATCAGTTCCAAAAACACTTATCTTGGTCTCATGCCAGAGTACAGAGTTCCAGTAGTCTTCTTTTTCAGCATGGGCCCTGGCAAATTCTAGGCGGGTTTTTTTTGTGCATGGGATTTAGGAGAGGCTTCCTCCATGGATGATGCCCATGCATGCCATTCCTTTACAGTGTAAGCTGAAATTGTGTCACAGGAAACAATCCCCCCAGTTTGGCTTTCTACTTCTTTAGCTAACTGCAATGAACTTGCATGGAGATTTTTCTTCAAACATTCACATCAGAAGATGCTGCTTTCGAGGTGTTGACTTCCTGGACATCTCTGTGAGATGGTTGTAGTTCCATCTTTTGTTAAATGTTTGTATCACTTTTGCTACAGTATTCTGACTGATAAGTAACTGTTCTTCTTGTAGTCTTCACCTTTCTTGTGTAGTGAACAAATAATATTTGATGTGTGGACACTTAATTTGTGGACCCACTATGTTTTAGTTGATCATTCTGATATCAAAGTGCTTATATATGTATCCAGTTCCTTAATAGAGATATCTAAGTATGTGAAGAATTATATTTGCAGTTTAATGATTTTTTTTTTTTTTGTGGATTTAAATATTCTTTCCAATAAAACCTAATGATTTTATACTTAAAGGGGGTAATACTGAAATTGGAATAGATTATCTGATTAGATAAAGCTGCCACAAGTTTTTATATGATAGAAAAGCCTTGACTATATAGGCTTACACACTAATGCTATTTGTTGTGTGTCTGCTGTTGTGCTGCTGTGAAAAATGGAAATCACATTAGGCTCTATGGTGCCAGTTTCTATCAAATTTTTAAAAAGGTGTATTGCTTCTTTTGGAGCAAGTGGAAACCTTCCCTTTTTTTTTTTTTTGTAAGCATATTCTCTGATCATGGGTTTGTGATTAATTGTAGCTGTGATTGGCTGATCTATGTAGAAGACCGCCTCCCCAGCTGTTAGCGCTTACTCTACAAATAATCTCTGTACATGTGAAATGCGTTAGTGAGTGGAGCTCAGGTGGTTAATCTTGCACTGGACTGTTCATTAAATGTTTAACCATACGCTTAATTTGGTGTTCAACTACCTTCTTTTACTAACCCTGAAACATAGTAAGGTCAAAATTAAGTAAGGACTCTTGATTTGCATGCATGTTCTGGGTCGGTGATCTGGAAATCGCAGTTGCATAACAACCAGGCAAAAAAACACTTTCAGAAGCTTAGGTCCGCAATGGCTGGTTGTCCTGCAGGGGTTGTCTAACAGGGCATACAAACAGAATGGATAGTTCTAGGTTGGTTCTCCTAGTAGATGGCTTTGGCAAATCTATTAATGCTTGTAACATACAATGCTCAAAATTTTACATGCCCTGGCAGAAATTGTGAAATTGTGGCATTGATATTGAAAATATGACTCCTCATGCCAAAAAAATGCTCATTTATTGAAGGATGATCATATGAAGCCATTTATTATCAAATAGCTGTTTTTGGATCCTTTTTTAAATCATAATAACAGAAATCCTAACCTTGGTCACCGCCTAACACCCATCCCCAAATGAGGTGATTGGCTATTTGTTCTCAGGAGACGCCCCTTTGAGATAATAGAAAAAGACTGACAGCCTGGAGAAAAGTCAGCTCGCCCTTTTAACATCAGGAACCATCTCTGTGAGAAAGGTAACCTTTTGTTCGGACGATTGGAGTCTGCTCAAACCAAGGACTTTTGCAAGTCCTTCTGAAACTTTTCTTTTATTTCTGTTGTTTGATATATATATATGTGTGTGTGTGTGTGTGTGTGTGTGTGTGTGTGTGTGTGTGTGTATATATATGTTACATCTTTTTCTGTAAATATTTTAATTGCACCATTTTGACCTTTTTAGTAATAAATCCTATTTTCTGTAAAGTGTTAAAACTGCCTCTAAAGCTTTTAATGCAAAGAATCCCTATCTCTGAAGAGTGCTACTGTATGTGATAATCCTCTGTAACACACTGTCACCGCAGACAGATTTATTCAGATGCTTATACTAATATCATAGTGTTACTGCTAAGATTTGTGAGTTTCCTCCTTCTCTGTAAAAAAGGTGGTGGTGGCAGTGTGAAGGGTTATTCGCGTAATTGACCTGACCCAGTAACAATCGCTCTCAGGCTGCTGGCACATAGATTGTGGTCCCACGAACTGGAAAATCTTTGTGCAGGGCGCAGCTGAGAGTAGCATTGTTACACAAGTGACAGCGCAGTCTGAGATCGACTGGTCCTTCGGTCACAAGTTGGTGAGAAGGGCTGGGATATGAAGCCGCGCACCGTCACTCAGTATCTAGCCTAGTCAGTGATTCCACGTAAGAGCTAACAAACTCATTGACTATTTATGCACTGACATGAATTGCAATTTTCAAAGCCACAGATGTGGGACATTAACCTCTAATTGGCATTTTAACCTGTGTGTCACCTTGTGTGTCTGTACCAAGGCCGAACGTTCCAGGGTATGTAAACTTTTGATCATGGTCATTTGGGTGTTTTCTGTTATGATTTAAAAAGGAGCCAAACAACTATCTGATAATTGGCTTCATATGATCATCATCCTTCAATAAAAGAGCATTTTTTGGCATGATCAGTCATATTTTCAATATCAATGCCAAAATTTCACAATTGCTGCCAGGGTATGTAAACTTTTGAGCACAACTGTATATAACGCTCCCTTTTTTTTTTTTTTTTTTTTTTAACACCCTCAGGTCGAACCTTTTGCTAACATTGTCAATGCGGTGCGACCCAGCGTCCCCCGTCTTCTGATCAACAGGGATCTTGTAGGTCCTTTTAAAAATCAAACAAGGAATAGTAGAGATGTGTCAGAATTGGGAGATCTTTGTGACAGCATCAGAAAGTTTGTCCGTGCACTTAACTGGCAGAAAGACATGGAGAAGGTGATGAGAACCCACAAATCATAGGCAAGTATTGCCACATATTGTCTTTCAGGTATAGTTGTACGTATAGTGGCTGATGCAGTGGGCAGTATCTATGTTAAAACTTAGTGTTACTAAACCCAGGACCCTGCATTCACTATACCTGGTCTCATACAGTACACTCAACATGGAAATGCAATTATTTTAGTAAATATAAACTGCTAAATACATTTCCTCATCAGTAGTAAAGCCCTGTACCAGGGGCGGACTGACCATTTGGAAACTTGGGCACTGCCCGAGGGCCTGGGGTCAGTAGGGGGCCCCATGAGATGCCCCTGGTACCTTTTTTTCATAGGCTTTTTTGAGTTTGGGCAAGGACACGGGCCCCATGATCCCCTATTGCCCGGGGGCCCCATGATTTGTCAGTCCGCCCCTGCCCTGTACACAATGAGAATATTGGACGAACAATCGCCTGTTTTTTTTTTTTTTTTTGCCTCCTAGTCTCACATCGAAAGTGAAAAGGGTTACTAAAGCTACAAAAATTCATGTACAAAAAAGAATTTTGAAAGTGATGTTATGTATTTTTATTGTATTTTTGGTAGACTACTGTGTTAATTAATCAAACCGTACGATCTGGTATCGTACGAGAAACATTTTGAGCTTTGGATATTTTGGATATTGTTGCATGAATTGTCGTGATCGGCTCTGAAACTCTGTACTAACATTCCGATTATCGGACAATCTGTCCTCAAATGAAGATTTTCTTAGGATTTCTTATGTGTATGGGGCAATAGCCATCTTGTGACTTCTAGCAGAGCAAAGGTTAAAGCTTTGTTGGAGTTTTCATTCTTCTCTGATTGTCCTATGAGGCTGCAGGACCCCTGACCCTCTGTCTGGACAGGGCTGATTGGCCCTGTGCCAATCACATGCACACTCCAAAGAATAAAGCTCTCTAGCGATACACACCAAACTAAGCATGTGCAGCTTGTCCCCACGGCTCTGTTCTATCAGCAGATGGACTGGGGACAGTAGAAGGTGAGGATCAGAAAAGACAGGAACAAACATCCTTTTTACAAAATGTGAGGAATAACCCCTTAGATTCCAGAGTGAGTATAACAAGCATGCTTCACTACAGATAGACTGGTTTTAGTGTCATGGGTTTAGTAACACTTTAAACATACATTCCACATTAAGGATGCTACCAACATTTGTGAGTTCTGTAAATTGCAGCATTGTCCCTTTTTTCTAATTGCTGGAGCCTGTCATCTTGCTGAACCCCAGAGCACCATGAGCAGCAGTAAACATTTAGTCAGCAGATCGGCCTCTAGTGGCTGATTTGTGGCACTGTGCACAGCAGGGTGAGACACTGTTTTACTTTATTTTAAACCGTATTGGCAATTATTTCTTAATGTGTTACATACAGTTGTACTCAAAAGTTTGCACACCCAGGCAGAAACTGACATTTTGGCGTTAATATTGAAAATGACTGATCATGCCAAAAAAATGCTCTTTTAAGGGTACCAATCATACAAAGCCATTTATTATCACATATAGTCATTTTACCTCTTTTTTTAAATCATAACAGAATTCACCCAAATGGCCATGAATAAATGTTTACATACCCTGGAATGTTTGGCCTTGTTACAGACAAACAAGGTGACAATGTATTTCTCTCCTCCATTCATAGAGAGAAAAAAAAACAAGGGGGCCGGGCTGTGCAGTGACTGATCACTGTGGTAGAGGCTATAACAGCAATGATGTGAACCGGAATCGGGAGTTCTGGGTCCCAATCGTTAGAACGGGACCCGGTGCTCTCAGTGACACAGCGGTCTTTGTGCTGGGAGCTCGCTGTGCGGTGCGCTCCCAGCACAAAGACAGGTACACAAATATGCTGCCCCATGGAAAAAAGCCCAGTTCTGTGAGGCCGCATATTTGTGTTATGTTGACATCAAGGGGTTAATATCATCGAGCCACTCTGGGGAGATCTCACATCAAGGGGTTAATATCATCGAGCCACTCTGGGGAGATCTCAAACGTGCAGTTCATGAAAGATGACCAAAGATTTTGCATGCCCTGGAGGCATTTTGCCAAGATGAATGGGCAGCTATACCTCCTGCAAGAATTTGAGGCCTCATTGACAACTATGACATAAGACTGCACACTGTCATTCATGCTAAAGGGGGCAATACACAGTATTAACCACTTCCATACCGGGCACTTTTACCCCCTTCCTGCCCAGGCCATTTTTTCAGGTTTCAGCGCTCTCACACTTTGAATGACAATTGCGCGGTCATACAACATTGTACCCAAACTAAAATTTTATTTTCTTTACACAACTAGAGCTTTCTTTTTGGTGGTATTTAATCACCGCTGGGATTTTTATTTCTTGCTAAATTAACAAAAAAAGACTGGAAATTTTGAAAAAAAGCACGTTTTTCTTTGTTTCTGTTATAAAAGTTTGCAAATAAATAATTGTTCTTTATAAATTTAGGCCGAGATGTATTCTGCTACATGTCTTTGGTGAAAATAACCCAAATTAGGGTGTATTGTTTAGTTTGTAGGAAAGTTATAGAGTTCACAAACTATGGGATATATCTGAAAATTGATCAATCCTGAAGTACTGACGGCCAATCTAATTTCTTGAGGTCCAAGAATGTCAGAACAGTACAGATGGCCTCCAAATGACGACTTTTTGTGAAGTAGACAGTCTGACGTACTTCATAAGAGGCATGGCGAGTTTTTTGAAGTTGTATTTATTTGTCATAATTTTTCAGAAAATTAAAACATTTAAAATATTTCCAATATTTTTTTTTTTACATACTGTCACCAGTGCAGTACAGCGTCATATAACTGGCATGGCGGTGATCAGGGACACTGACAGTATGGGGGAAAAAAAAAATATATAATTTTTTTTTTTTTTTAATTTTTTATTACATTTATTTTTTTTTTAAAGATTTTTTTTTCATATTTCACTATGACCAACGTAGTATAATATTACCATAGTAACATTGTACTACTTTGGGGAAGTGATCAGTATTTTTTTTTTTTTTTTTTTTTACACAATTTGCTTATAGCAAAGAATTACTTTGCTATAAGCAAGCATTTACCTGAATGACATCGATTCATTCAGGGTTGTTTTTTTTTTTTTTGTTTTTTTGTTTTTTTTTGTGCTTAGCTGTGATTTGGCCACGGCTAATCGCATGACACAGCTGGGCTGTGATTGGCCCAGCTTGTGCATGTGATCACTGTGCCCATTCACCGCTAGGCACACTAGTATACAATGGATGGCTGAATGAAGCCATCCATTGTCATGTGACCTGCTGTGATAGGTCACATGGTACTGGCAACGAGGCCGGTACTCAAATCTGTCATCGGCCGTGTCCAAGGTACACGGCCGGTGGACAGATTGCGTGGCTCTGCAGGCGTGCAAACTGCGCATGCCTGGGAGGACGCCATATGACATCCACCTGGAACACTGAGGGATTTTGCCGGCTGCCAAACGGCCATTGGCCGGGCGGCAAATGGTTAAGAACGAAGGGTAAGCAGACTTTTGAACCGGGGTTATTTCATTTGTTGTTGCCATGTTTTGTTTTATGATTTGTGCCATTATGGCCTACATTTTAATATGAATCCCATAGGAAATAAATGTGTTTTGCCTGCTCACTCATGTTTTCTTTAAAAATGGTACATAATATTACCAATTCTCTAAGGGTATGCAAACGTTTTAGCACAACTGTAGCTATACCTACAAAAGGCTGCCAGCCTGAAGTGATCTAGCCAGACTTAATTTTCTGACCAATGTTCCATTTTAAAACTGGAACTAAACCCTCCTCTCCTCTTCAGCCAAGGAAGCTGCCATCTTAGTTTGTTTCATCTACAACTACCATGGTGCTGCACATGTGATCAATTATGACACCAGCCATTTGATGGTTTGACAGTTTGGTATAGAGCACAAGCAAACATGACGGTTACATTCCCAGCATGCCAGGAATATAACCGTTTCTTTAAACGTTAAATCGACAGGTTTAGTTCCACTTTGAGTTCCGTTAATTTTTTAAAAAAAAATCCCTTTCAGGTCCAATCAGTATTTTGCAAAGATTTTAGCAAAGTGAAAGGCATATCCTTATCTGCCTCTGTTCTGTCCGGTGTTGCTTCTCTTCACCCATTTGGTAGCCACCAATGATGCAATTTCTGTGCCAGCATATACTGTAGGTCCCAGACACCAGCTTTGTTCCAGGAATGAGTCAGGACTTTACTGCACTGACTTTTGCAGTGGGATACATAGAAACTAAACTCTTTTGAGGAGCATGATGAATATATATAATTTTTTTTTTTTTTTTTGGCCAAATCACCTAGCAATTTTTGTTGTGGGACTTTAGATCCACCTTTAAAGTAGAACTGCAGGCAGGTGCAATATTTTTTTTTTTTTTTCTAGAGGCTTTGAAGTCTAGAAGATGTACTCGAAACAAGTCGGACAGCAAAGGACTAGTCGCCAGTGTTGTCTGTGGTCTCCCTTTTTAGCTGATTTTTAACACACCTCTTCCTGCACTGTGACTCCATGTAAAAGAGACCATCTATGTGGAGGCAGGTCTTTGCTTCCTCATGTTGGAGCCTCCAGCAAGGCGTGAGCAGCACAGTAGTGATATCACCAAATCTTTGTATAAATCTCATGAGACAAGCAGTTGGGGGCATCAGTGTCTTAGAGCTCACACTGCATATATACACTAATAAGCCTCCATTCACACTTGCGACTTTTGACATGACAAGTAGCATAAGTCACAGCCCATTCTTTTCAATGGCTCCCGTTCAGATCTGTGCGACCCAGAGGCACAGCAAATTTGAAAAGGTGCCTGCACTACTTTGATGCAACTTTTGATGCAACTTAGGTCCAGAGAGTGTAAAGTCACAATCCAAACTCACACAAATGTGAATGGAGCCTAAGGCTACAGAACAGGTTTGCTTAGGTACACTTACATTTAAGGAAGAGCACTGTTTTCTAACAGAAATACCAGACAATGTATGCTTTGGGGGGAAGTGGGCAAGAT